GTAGTAACGATGAATAGCGCAAATTTTAAATTTTAACATCTGTAAATAAAGTTTGTGTATAGACCTGAATTATATTATATATTTTAATTATAAAACACAAACATGACGCATATAAACTTTAAACAGGTATATAAAGTTGTTCTCTGCCTTAAAAAAACATTTTACTGTATTAAACTGTGATGCTTTGTAAGACAAAACTAGAACAAAATATTACACTATAATGAACCCCATATGTCTGCGTCATTCTCATTCTTACATCGGCATAGTCTGCAGGCTGTTTTCTGAATTTAGTGACATACAGCACTATCACTATAAGGTCTATATGGACCTATAGCAATCTTTTGGTGCTATCCATATGTAGATGGTACGATGATAAAACCTGTTTCTATCAATCTGCATAAATTCTATTCTGAGACATCTACAGAGACAACAAAATTAATGGATATGATAAATATGAATGGGAGGAGGAAAAAGTAGCCAATATCAAGACACCATTCTCTTATTACTATCAACAACAAACAGGGGAAACAAAAATCTGATAACGTTCAATCTAATGTGATCCTAATAATGAGTCAAATATGACATGAGATACTTAAAATCTCTTGGTAGGTGAATAGTGAAGTGTGAAAGCAAAGAAAATAAGTGTTCTAAACATTTACCACTGGGATAGGATCAAATCCAAACTGCCGAACAAAAAACATTTACAACAGTCAAATTTACGCTGTGTACTTCACTCACCAGACCTGTGTAAACCATGCAGAACTAGCAAACTCTGTGACACACACTCACTTCGAACTTCCACTCTGACTCTTGACCTAATTACTTCAGTGTCTCCATCAACTCTGCACACATAGATTCCTGCATCATCCCGTTCCAAGGCTGTGAGTGTGAGACCCCCATCAGTTTCAATTCTCCTACGATTAAAACTGTCCTCGCGCCCCTCCCGCACCCATAATGCAGAGTAGGGGTCAGCAAGTGGCAACATGGTGGATAAATCTGTACATGGAAGGGTCAAATTGCCCCCAACATCTACAGCAAATTCCTGAAGCTCAGGATATACTGTTGCATGGCAGCAGCCTGTAAAGAAAAATCAATAACTTATTACAACTTCCACCAGACTAATGGCACACTACAACCCTGAAGACAACCACCTTCAAACCAAAAATGAAATATAAATGTCTTGCCATAGCCATGCAATTTTATTCCTTATCAGTTTAACAAAAAGGGAGAAACTTTCCAAGATTTCAGATTCATGTATTGAAATGCACTGTGCTGCGCATCTGTCACAGTTTATATAGCCACATGTTGATGTTAATAAAGGTAGGGATTTAAAAAGCAAACAATCTTCAGAATGAGCTTCCTATAAACTGACCAAAGTTTCATAATAAAGTCAGTATAAACTGTAACAGCTTTTATACTTTTGTAACCAAACATTGTGGTCAACTGGTTAATAATCCTCCTTTGTATTTAGGAACTACTGAGTTCATATTTTGGCCTGGAAACTGGCTATCCTGATTGAAGTTTTCCTTAGTCTCTCCAGGCAAATGCCAAGATAGTATCCATTTAGTCCACCTTTCCAGTTCATTATTCACTAATAATCTTATCATTACATGCTACACAGTCTGAGCTATTGACAGTCTTGATAAATAAACTAAACATATTGTTGCATGTGAGGTTACTGGTCCATCTGTGCATGTAACACAGTTGGCAATATGAATGTCATGTCTGTGAAAGCCACTCAGTCTCTGCCTTCTGAGGCAGGAAAAATAATAAATTATTTAAACCATGGACCACAAACTGTACAAAGTAATTGATCATTAAAAAATTTGTATCTCTAATTGAGATAATTTTGTGTTTGGTGTGAGATGACGATATAGTGAACGTGAAACTTAATTTCCCTTGGACAGGTGTTAACATTCCTACAAATTCTGTATTAAACATATTATTAGGTATGAAGATTTCTGTCTTCTGGGTTGTTGCACCGTGTAGTCTGGTCGATGCTAACCAACGTTTCAGAGGTCATACTGCCTCCGTCATCAGGGCGATGAATATTCAACAACCCAGAAGACAGAAATTTTCATACTCACTGCTGTGAAAACCTCATATATTATTAGGTCCTTTAAATTAAAAGTTGAAAATGGTGTAAACCCTTAATATGCTTGTCAATCAAATATCTGTACTAGAGGAAAATTCCAAAAAATAAAACACTACAAATGTGTATAAATATGAATTCTAAGTTCTAGATATCATTTTGGCTAGGTTTTTCCATAAGAACTGCCAAATTCAGAAATTTCAGCCTGAAAATGGAGTTTGAATAAAACTAGTGAAGTTTGTGTATGAAAACAGTCATCTAGTACATTTCATACTCAAAATGTGTTACAATAAATACAGACAGACAGTAACTCCCCAAGCTGTCAACTTATTACTTAGCAATCCAGCTTATTTGTTTCACTTGTTAAAACTGGACTCACCTGAACAAAGTTTTAACCACAATAAACTAACAATCATGAGCACTTCGACTCATTGATATTTTCCAGTCTTAGCCATGTTTGTTGGGACATGCTTATGACTTCTATTTAAACACAAAAATGAAGCAGTACATTATATGACACATGTTTTTGAAATTTAACAGTCAAAACTTCAGTTACTAATGCAAAAAGAATACAATGTTTGTGAAACCGTATGACAGTAAATGAATTAAAACTCAAATAGTTTGGTATCTAAAAGTATTATTTTTACTACTAAATTAAAACAATAATCTTTTGGCATTATCTGTTTCTGCAGCTATTCAATCACAATCTGAAACAATGCCACTTGCAGTGAAGTCCCAATGAAAACCGATATTTTTTCATGACTAATGAAACAGCTGCATGGGACTTGAGTATTATATTCTGTATTCCAAACCTGATCTATTCTTAAAAATAAACACAAAGAACAGATTAATATTAACTGTTCCACAACAAGGAAAGCCATCCCACAGGTACAAGAAGTGACTGCACAACTTTCGAATTGTTCTTGTCAAAGTATAAGTTCAACAGCATTTCGTTTGGTAATAAATTATTTTTGAGGCAAAGCTGTGAATACATCTTTTTAAGTGGTCATAAACATTAGTACTACAATTTTTGTCCATAACAGATGCGACAGCCGCTAAAAGTAACATATCACAAAATCAAACTGAATATTGCTTTGCCTCTGTCCCCACTGTACATTATGTAATTCTGAATTCTCATTCTATAATCACAGGCATTACCGAACTGCCAAACTTTCCACCAAATGGAATAAAGAAGTGCACGGGGTTCTTGTAATTACATGTATGTATAAATGACCTAATGAATTCTGGCAAGTAACTTTAATGGAGACATCAAATATCGCCAAAAATGTTGGAACACCATCACTATTGCTAGTACACCACTACAAGGTCGTTTAGAAATGTTCTAATTCAAGTAAAATGCCTAGATTTACGTTTCATTAATTTACCTTCCGCGAACACTAACAGCAAGAATATATCTATAATCTTCTTTATAATCATTCTCCCATATCAATAGTAAAGAGTGAAAGAAGTTGCATTAACCACCATATTTGTTTATAACGAATGACACTTTGCTTATACGCGTTTCATCTCGTGATACTCCCTATTTTCGCATCCACCCAGTTTAGTTGGTCACAATGACGGATTTATCGAGTAAGACCGTAGCTTGAACATACTGACATCTCCAGCTTCGTTTGTTAAACTATGTGGCGCCAAATTCAGGAATTTTCCCCACACTGGAATAGCACTGTGCCTATTATTACATAAATGTCCGTACCTTTAAGCTTCAGCAATTGAATAGCTGCCAAGAAACAAATCCTTACCAACCCTGCAAGGTTAAATGGCTAGACATGGGTTCAAAACCTATTTAGAACCATTAATGTTCATAAACACATCTAAGTAATGTAATTTAAATGGGGGATAATTGTGAGGGCTGTAGATCAAGTTTTAGTTAGCACATATCTTCCGCTTTGAAGCCCAGTGGTAACCATATGTACCACAAGCTTTAGCATTCAGCAACTGTACATTTTGTTTACAAATTGCATCAATGGATTTCCTTTGAGTCTCAGAATACAATGCAGTTTTCTCCCTGAGTTTCTACCAGCGAGCATGCTACAGAGGGCCAGTTTTGTTACCCAGCTGCACTGATGATAACAGCAGAAGATATGGTTTACTCACCATTCAGCCACCTGATGCAGCTTGTAGCCCATGAGTCATCATAATGAACATTTGCTTCAACATGAATTTCTTATCTTAAGGTCTGGCAAACAGCCTTATAAACACATGTTGAAATTATGCAGGTATGCCAAGTCACGGCTCAGCATCTACATTATTATGACTTACCTGGTACCCCAACCTTCTGTCTATCCTGTCTCAAACACAAAAGTTGTCCTTGCCCTTCTCTTTCAGCTAATGCAGCTGACCAGTGCTCACACAAAACTGGACTGTCATTCTGTGTTCTCATTTGGAAGCAGAAGATCATACCAAAGTTGAGCATTGATTGGGTTTGTATGCCTGGAAGAGAAATGATGGATTTTAAATTGTAAAATTTGAGGTTTTCACAGCGGTGAGTATGAAGATTGCTGTCTTCTGTGTTGTTGCGCTGTGTAGTCTGGTCGATGTTAACCAACGTTTCAGAGGTCATACTGCCTC